TCAAGCTTTTAAGACTCCAGACGCTATATCTTTTGATAGCCGGGCACCATCAGCTTTCTTCACCACATTTGCTTATTCACCCGCTTTGTCTTTAGCAGTTGTCACACCATTTTCTATGTGTGTACTCTCCACCTCTATTTATATCCTCTATTAATAAGAATTTATAATGTAAGGAATATTTTTGATGGTGTACAGATTATCGGGCCTTGTCTCCAGGGTTTCTGACTGTAGGTCTAGTCTGGGGCCTGAAAATTTGCCTTATCTAACAGTTCTCAGGCAATGCTACTCACCAGGGACTGTTTGACTGTTTTGCAGACCTACTGCTGTAGGCTTTGCCTCCCCCTTTCTTCCAGCCCACCTGCCAATTCTGACAGCCCCCAAGAGCACCATCTTTCCACTAACCTGGGAGATATATTGCATCCTCCTGTTCAGGGAAGGCCTGATCCAGCCATGCAAGTACTCTTGCATTCACATGTAATCTCAGTATGCCGTAACTCCTCAAACCATATTGTAGTTCTCAGGGCCTGGACTTGGCCTATGATTTTTCCCTGTGTGGTTCCTCTCTTCCAGAAGAATGTCTGTATTTTTGCTTCACTAGTGATCCACCACTTACCTGTCAGTTTGTTGTACTGTGATGCTGAAAGCTCTATCACTGGTATTTCAAATCTGAGCAGGGTCACCCAAAGTGACCAGGTATCGGCAGAGCTTCCAGACTGATACAGACTACAAAGGATTAGGTGTCCATTTCAGAGGAATTAACCACTTAAAACCTGATGGATACATCTAAACTTTTTCAGTTACTGAACACGTAATGAATGTTGTCTGAGATTGTTCCAGAAGATAGCTATTCAGGTCTGAAGTCACTCAAAATGTGACTGAGGGAAAGCTGCCATGTCACGGTAGAGTTGACCATAATGATGCTGATGGAATAAAACCTTTGAGACCTTTATTTGCTGTTGGGACATGACTTAAAATGAGAAGAAATGGCAACTATACAACATACACTTCTCCAGATGTAATACACAGAAATCAAATTGACTACATCTGTGGGAAGAAATGATAGGGAAGCTCAATAACAGCAGCTAAAACCAGGCCAGGGTCCAATTGCTGAACAGACTGTCAATTACTCATATGGAAGTTCAGGTTGAAACTGAAGAAAATTAAAACAAGTCTGCAACAGCCAAAATATGACCCTGAGGATATCCCACCTGAATTTTGAGACCATCTCCAGAGCAAATTTGACAGATTAGACACTAAAGAGAGAAGACCTGATGAGCTGTGGGATGATAACATCAAGAACATCATACATGAAGAAAACAAGGTCACTAAGACAGGAAAGAAAGAAAAGATCAGCATGGATGTCAGAAAAGACTCTGAAACTTGCTCTTAACTATAGAGTAAGCTAAGGCAACTGGAAGGAATGATGAAGTCAAAGAACTGAAAAGAAAATTTCATAGGGCTGCTTCGGAAGACTATATATATTATGTATAGTGTGTGCAAAGACTAAAGTTGGGAAATAAAAAGGGAAGAACAAGCTCAGCATATCTTAAAATGTTAATAATCAAGAAAAAATTCAAGCCAGAGTTGTAATATTGAAAGATTCTTTCTATAGGCAAAATATTGAATGATGCAGGAGACATCAAAAAAATATGGAGAGAATACAGAATCACTACCAAAAAGAACAAGTCAACATTCCACCATTTGGGAGGTAGCATATGAGCTAGTGGTGCTGAAGGAAGACATTCAAGCCGTACCAAAAGCGTAGCCTAAAACAAGGCTCCAGGAATTTATGGGATACCAATTGAAATGTTTCAACAAGCTAATAAAGCACTGAAAGCACTCATCTATGCCAATAAATTTGAAAGACAGCTACTTGGCCAACTGACTGGAAGAGATCCCTATTTCTACCCATTCCAAAGAAAGGTGACCCAACAGAATGCTCAAATTACCGAGCAGTGTCATTGATATCACATGCAAGTAAAATTTTGCTGAAGATCATCCAGCAACACCAACAATAGTACATTAACAGGTAACTGCCAGAGGTTCAGGTCTGATTGAAAAGATGTTACAACAAGGGATATCATTGCTAAAGTCAGATGGATGTTGGCTGAAAGCAGAAAATACCAGAAAGATATTTACTTGTATTTCATTGACTATTCCAAGACATTCAACTGTGTGGATCATAACTGTCGACAGCTTTGGGAAGAATAGAAATTCCAGAGCACTTCATTGTGCTCCTGCTACACCCGAACATGGATCAAGAAGCAGTTGTGCTAACAAAACAAGGGGATACTGCGTGGATTAAAAACAGGAAAGATGTGGTCAAGGTTGTGTCCTCTCGCCCTACTTACTCAGTCTAGAGTATACTAAACAGATAATCCAAGAAGCTAGAGTATATGATGGGAATTTTGATATCAGGATTGGAGGAAGGTTTATTAAACTCCTGCAAGATGCAGATGATAAAATCTTGCTTGCTGAAAGAGAAGAAATTGAAGCACTTGTTGACCAGGAATTGTAGCCTTCAGTATTTATTACAACTCAATGTAAAAGAGAACAAAAATCCTCACAACTGGACCAATAAGTAACAGACATCATGATAAATGGAGAAAAGATTGAAGTTGTAAAGGATTTCATCCAGCTTGGAACCACAAGTGATGCTCATGGAAATAGCAGTCAAGAGATCAGATGAAACATTGCATGAGGTAACTCTACACAAGACCTCTTTAAAATATAGAAAACCAAGGATGTTACTGTGAGGAGTAGGGTGTGTCTAACCCAAGCCATGGTATTTTCAATTGCCTTATATGGATGTGGAAGTTGGGTACTGAATGTGGAAGATTGAAGAAGAATCGAGGAATTTGAACTATGGTGTTGATGAATATTGAAGCTACCACGGACTAACAAAAAATCCAAACAGATCTGCCTTGGAAGAAGTACAGCAAGAATCTCTCTTAGAGGCAAGGATAGAGAGACTTTGTCTCAAGTAGTATGGCCATGCTATCAGGCGAGACCAGTCCCTGGAGAAGTGCATCGTGCTCGGTCAGGTGGAGAGGCAGTGAAAAAGAGGAAGACCCTCAACAAGATCGGTTGACACAGTGGCTGCAACATTGTGGCACAAACCTGTTGTACATAGGAATCAATATGAGTCAACCAACTTAATGTTACCACAACAGCGACACCTATGGTCTTTGCTATCTTTGTGGTCCTTGTTTAGTCTTGCTATTGATTGAGACCCATCTTTTTTATTTATTTTATTTTTTATCTATCACAGGGATCTGGATAGGGCAGAGTAATAAAATCGTTTGGATTTAGCCTGCCATAGTCATCAGATGTCCAGAACATTAAATTCAGATCAAATGCAAAGTAGCAATTTCAGTAACTTTCCCTATCCATGGTAAGAGTAAAAGAGAATTATAATGACTACAGTCCTAGCCTATCATGCTGAGTTTATTTTGGTAAAGTATTGAAAAGGGAAAAACAAAGTATTCTGTTTTTGTTCATTTTCAGATCGTCTTATTAGACATAGAGCCTGTGCGTTAAGAGATACTGCCTATGCAATAATTAAAGAAGAACTAGATGAAGACTTTGAAAAGCTTTGTGAAGAAATTCAGGAATCTAGAAAGAAGAGAGGTAGGAAATTGATTTGGCACCACAGAAAGTTACTTCAGGCTTCCCTAGTGGGCTGAGTCCTTTTCATCAGTCTTGTGTCTTTTTGAACTTCTGAGTGTCCTCTTTGGCATCATACCTGTCTCTCTTACAAGGATGCAGCTCTTCGAAATATGCCCCGTCTTACTACCATGTGATGCCAAAGCAGAATCTCACTCCCGCTGCTGAGAAGAAGCCAGATCCTGAGCACAATGAGAAGCTGAAGATGCCCAGCCCTCCAGTGGCATGCAGCACGCCTGGTAAGTGTGCAGAGGTGGGTTTTACTTATGAATGGCGGCCTCTGTTCTCTCCTATTGCAATTTTTACTCTCCCACAAGAGTTTTTAGGTTGGTGTTGTAAATTACAGTGGCTTTCCTAACAGCCAAATTTGCATTCTCAAAATCAAGTTTTAATAGTTTCTGCAGTGTGGTTATGCATCTCTGTCTAGTGTGGGCTAGGGAACCTGGTGATGCAGTGGGTTTCAAACTGGGCTGTTAACCCCCAGGTCAGCAGTTTGAAACTACCATCTGTTCCTGCTCTTATAAAAATGTCCAGCTTCAGAAACCCAAAGGGGCAGTTTAACTGTCCTATAGGGTCTCAGTGAATCAGAATTGACTCAGTGACAGGGAGTTTGGTTTAGTTAGTTAGTTTTGTTTTGTCTAGACAGAGTATTTCCTAACCTCCTTGTACCTTAGTTTTCTTGTCTGGAAAAATGGTGATGAGAATGATAGCAAACCTTAGTGAGTAAAAGTCAAATTTAAGTGAGTGAGTAAGAGGCTCAGCCAAGTTTCTGGAACGTGGTGAGCGTGCACACAATACATGCCAACCAATGTTAGTGTTGACTTTCTCCTAACTTAACATTCTAACTCAGGTTTCATCCTGCTACCAAATTAATCTTTCTGAAATAGACATCAGACAGCTCATGTTGTGGCCTGCCTTAAACTTATTTAAGATAAAAAGACTTTATAGCCTGGGACTTGCCTACTTCTTGAACTTCTCACAAACAAGTACGCTCAAATTTTGTTCTTCTGTTCTGACCACACAGGACTATTTGGGCTTCTCAAAGTCTGCCATTTTTTCAGTGGGTAGTTTTGTTGTTGTTATTGTTTTATCTGCTTACTTGAATTTTTGAAACTTGGTCAATATTCTTTGTATTTTGCTTTAATTCTTGCAGCTCAACTGAAGAGAAGAATTCGCAGAAAGTCTAAATGGCACTTAGGCACCATCCCCAAACGAAGGAAGATTTCACAGTCAAAAGATGAGAGCCAGAATGCACTGGGTGACAAGATTGGGAGTGATACAGAAGAAAATCAAGATACCAGTGTGGACCACAATGAGACAGGAAACACAGGCGATTCTTCAATGGAAGAAAACGAGAAGCCGCAAAATGTCTCTGAACGCAAGAGCAAGCTGGGAAACCATCTCACTAGTAATTGTAGTATTGAGCATGAGCTGGAAGAATCTCGGAAGAGTGGGACATGTACAGAGTTGAGAAAAGATAGCATTGTTTGCAATGGAGAGGTATCTAGTGCTCAGATGATAGATCATTTAGATGAAAATGAAACTAATGGTAAGTCTTATTCAATTAAAAAGAAACAACCAGTTTTAAAGACTTTCATACTCTGGATTCCTAAGTGACTAATGACCATTGCATTGTATTTTCCATGTCTTGCAGAGTTTAGGGTATTAATTAGGGGGGGAAATAACATTACTAGCATTATCTCTACTTAATAGCTTTTAAGCTCTAGTAAATCATTGTTAAAAGCATAGGTTTTGGCACCTAACAGACCTGGATTTGAGCCTTTCATCCACCCCTTAGCAGTTTGTGACCTTGGGCAAGTTAACTGTCAATCTGTTTTCTCGTCTGCACAATTGGAGTAGAAAGTTCCTGGGTGATGAGATATTCTGAAGAGTGGCTACAAAGAATCCTTGTAAACACTGCTAATCCTTAGCAACATCATCAGTATTTCTGGAATTTTTGCTGAATGATGCAGAATAGTACCTAACCCCGTGGGCCCCACCCCTGCTCTAGGTCACTAAATCCAAGATTGCTCTGTTCCTCAGGGAGCCTGTTCATTTCATTTGAGATTAGTGTCTATCTGTGTTCACTTGAGCCTTTGATAATTTATTTGGCTTTTTGAAAAGCTAACATTGTTTAGAGGCAAGTCACTCAAAGTAAAAAAAAAAGGTGGATAACAAGGCCCATAACTAATTTTGGGCAAAAACAAGTTCTAACTGTAAGTTAAAGACACTCTTTTTTTCCTTCAGTGGCTTTTGCACCAATTCTGAAAGGGTTTCCTGGAACAGAGTTCTACCGTGTTTGAGTGGTCATAGTAGAAAGAACTAGATTGTTGTCTTTCTGATGGGTATGTTTGCATAGTTAACTCTGTCGAAGTCATTTAGTATGTCTTGTTTGGAACTGAAGTTTTACTCTTACTGTTTTTTTAAGGGAGAAGAGAATTATATTTATGTATTTGGGTAAATACTTAGTTATCAAGAGATGTGGGCTTGTGTTACTATGTGACTTAGGAAAAGTCTCCTCACCTCCCTTGGGCTGATTTTTCTCACTTCTCAGTTAGCAGATTGTTCTAGATCAGTGATCAGCAGACTTCCTGTAAAGGGCCAGATAGTGAATACTGTAGGTGCGGCAAGGCACGTGGTCTCTGTGCTTAACCTCCTTGCATGGAAGCTGCAGTGAACAGTAGGTGGAATTGCAGCAGTGAGATAGCTTTGGCCACCCTGCCCTAGATTACTGAGGTCCCTGTCAGCCCTTAACCTGAATCTTGTGCCTAATAGAAGTCAGGCTAAATCTGAGGATTCCTCAGAATGCCCCAACTTGAGAATACCTCTTAAAATGTCTCTAGTTTCTGAGTGTCTGTAAATGGTAACAGCAGAGTGAAGCAGCCAGAATTGATGTTTAAGCGTTAGTAAACACCTGTTAGTTACGCTGCCTTTATTTTAAGAAGGGTTGTGATGCAGTAGTTAAGCACTCAGCTGCTAAGCAAAAGATAGTTGGTTCAAACCCGCTAGCCCCCCCTCCACAGGAGAAAGGTGTGACAGTTTCTTTCTGTAAAGATTACTGCCTTGCAGACGCTATGGGGCCAGTTATGCTCTGTCCCACATGGTCACTGAGCTAGAGGTAGCAATAGAATTTTGGGGGTTGATACTTATTTTAGGATTTAAGATATCTAGACCAAATAACAACTCATTAATTTTCCATTCTAGAAATGTGTGTTTTGCGAATGACTCGAGCTAGACGTTCCCAAGTAGAGCAACAGCAGCTCATCAGTGTGGAAAAGGCCTTGGCGATTCTGTCTCAGCCTACCCCCGTGCTTGTTGTGGACCACGAGCGATTGAAAGTACGTACATGGAAATGGTTGTGCCTTAACTGGGCTGACAGGCCAACCCCAAGTACTGGCTTGCACAGGAGCTACACAGAAAGCATAAACAGTTCTTCCTCCCAGCCCCCCCAAGGCTGCTCTTCTCCTTCTGTCTCAGAATCTCATCTTGACCGGAGGCTCTGCGGCAGGACTCGGAGTGAAACTGCTCAGTAATCCTGCTGTGCAGCCAGATGCCCGTCTGCTGCTTATGTCCCCTGCCACTCAGCCCCCCTCAGTCTCGCTGCAATAAAATAGCGAGGGTGATGTTCTCAGTCAGAACTAATCTTTTTTTTTTTAGAACTAATCATTCTTGCTGCTATTAAGTGGAATCTTGTTCTACCTTATGTAACACTTAACACTAGCTATATACTCCCTCCTGTCCTTTTGTGCCCTTTAAGTCACTTTTGCCTTTGACCACTCTGTCAGCTCTCTGGCATGTTCCTTGTCCATCCATTCTTTCTATTCGTTGTACCCTTGGAATAAACGTCACCATATGAGCTGCCCCCATATCTGAAAGTCAGCATTCTGATGCACCAACTAGGAACATGTGTGTCATAGAATGGCCTGAGCAGATCTGAGATAAGAGTAGTCTCGCTTTTTCCCCTTTAAAAGAAAAACTGTTTTCCAATTACAATTTATCTATTTTATTGTAACTGCATTCCAAGGGTAAGAACATTGAGATCCTTGAATCATTTGTACTGATCAGAGTTTTGTCACTGTAAAGGGATGTCTGCTTTGTCTAAGAACCAAACAGCTGGTAGCTGAGGGTAGTTGTCCTCTGGAATGTGGCAGAGTTACTGTGAACATAAATGTCCTTGGAGAAGGATGCAGCTTTCTTCCAAGAGCAGTTTCTCCAAAATAATTTAACTCTTCCAGAAAAATCCCTCTAAAAATATATGTGGAACTAAACACCCTTGTGTGTCTCATGACCCTGTGAATGGTATTCCTACTATTGAAATAGAAACTTTCTATAGGGTACCCTAATTCCATAATACACTGGTTCTGGAGTATTCCTGGGTTGTAGCAAATACTACTATACTTTTCAGAAGTTTTACAGCTTTGTTTTTCTCAATATACAGGTCTACATTTAGAATCAATGATAAAAAGCCATTTATTGAGATTATTTCTACCTGTACTTCTTCTGGAAACATTGCCCAGTAAAAGAGATATTATGCAATAGCATAGTGTATCACTTAGACATAGAATAAATGATGTCCTTTTAGAAAAGAATAAGCTTGTTCAGAAAAGACTACGGTGGTTGGAGAAGACGGATATATTATTATCATTTTCAGTAGACCTGTCTGAATCATTGGTCCTGTACATTGCTTTTGTGACCTTTACCTGTCACCATTGTTGGGTTTTTACCTGTCAAATATTTCATCACGATGGTGTGGTTGTGTAACTGTGAATTAGTGCAAAGCCTTGTCAGGCCAGTTCTGAGTCAAAGACTGAGCAGATAAGAAAAACCCTGCAGTGGTGAGACCCTTTTTTTTTTTTTAAAGAAAAACCCTGCAGTGGTGAGACAGTTTACCATTTTGTTCACATCCATGTTGCTCTTTGTCTTCTATTAATATTATTTGAGATGATTTAGATGTGTACAGGGAGACTTATGGCTAGAATTGAAGTTGGCAAGCTCCTCTGCCAGAGTGTTGAGGATAGGAGTGACCAGGTTTGAAGCCAGTGTCAGAACCACCGCCAGGGGCTGCCTGGCCTCACTCATCACATGACTTGTCTCCCCCTCTCAGACTGACGCTGGCAATCTTCCCATACTCCTCGGTCATCAGAATTCAAATACCTTGTCTAGGGGAGTCTGTGGTTTACATTTATGAATGCTCATATTTTCTTTCAGAATCTTCTGAAGACTGTTGTTCAAAAAAGTCAAAAATACAATATATTTCAGTTGGAAAATTTGTATGCAGTAATCAGCCAATGTATTTATAAGCATCGCAGGGACTATGACAAAACAGCACTTATTCAGGTAGGCTATTGATATGCATCTTTCTAATGCTCTAAATGTCACGATGCATGCATGATTATATAAGATAGCTGAGGCTTTATTTAATGTATATAAAATAACTGAGTCTAAGTCCTTAATAAAGAATGGAAACTATCAAGTATCAGCAGACTATGAAAAAGATGTTTTGTGTGTGTGTAAAATAACAATAACGGTATGTAGCACCCTGAATAGACTTTCAGATAACCATTTTACTTGTCTCTACTTAATCTTGCTATAGAGAGAGCATTAAGAGGCCAACTTCAGAAAAATAGACACTGGTTCCAATGAAGTATAAAATATTAATACCTAGTAAAGTTCATATGAATGTCGGTGGCATAGTGGGTTATATGTTGAGCTGCTAACCAAAAGTCAGCAGTTCAAACCCATCAGCCGTGGGAGAAAGATGAGGCTTTCTGCTCCCATAAAGACTGCCAGCCTCAGAAACCCACAGGAGCAGTTCTACTCTGCTTGATATGAGCTGCCATGAGTTGGAATCGACGTGGTAACAGTAAATTTGGTTTTGAATTTTTTTGATAAGTACACCATTACCTTGACTACAACTATTTAAATTTAACATGAGATGAATCTGTGTTTAAACTGATGTAAAGAATGAAGCCTCCATCGGGGACAGTAGTTGATGTGACACTTAAAATTACTGAACTAGGTTTATTCTAACTTTCAATATGTGCATGGATCTTAATATCCTTAAGGTACTAAAAATCAGTAATGTTTCTTTAACTTTTTATATTAACACTATTTTTCTTTCCTACTCTATCTAGAAAATGGAGCAAGAAGTAAAAAACTTCAATTGTACCAGATCCTGATGTGTCCATGGTCTCTCATATTCTTCCCATTTGAATTGGGAAGAATTCCTTTTTTAATTTACTTTTGATGAAATCTTACATTTTTGAGGAAGATCATAAAATAAGAGTATTTAAACTTTCCTGGTATTATTTATGTACATGTGTAAGATAAGTTACAGAGGTAATTGATACATATTGGAAATCATACAAGTTATTGTAGTAACAATGCTGTCCTGTATCAGTAGCTGAAGTGTGGCCAACTCAATAAAGTTGTTTGTAATAACTAATGTTTGGTGACACTTAAGAGTAACTAGTCCTATTATGTTTTGTGTTAAGCACTTTTTACTTTTCCTCAAAGTTGCATATTGAATCAGAGATGAGGAGCTTACTTGACCATTATGTCTTTGGTTTTATTCTTTATTATATGTTGTTTGTTTTAGCTCTAATGCCTTTCTCCCCTCTACATTATATTTTCCCTTGTTCATTCACTTAAGACTCGGTGTTCAATTCAGGATTTGTTGGAAGCCCGTGAACAACATCCAGCTATTCCACAATTCTGTACTTTTTTAAAAATTACTAATCATTTTATTGGGGGGCTCTTACAGATCTTATAACAATCCATAATTCAGTTGTATTAAGAATACTTGTAAAGAAGAAGACTTGTACATATGTTGCCTTCATCATTTCCAAAGCATTTTCTTTCTGCTTGAGCCCTTGGGTATCAGCTCCTCTTCTTTCCCCTTCCCGACCCTCCCACCCTCATGAATTCTTGATCAACTATATATTATTATTGTTCACAATTCTGTACTTTTAAACATTTTGTAATTCTAATTTGGAGTTTATATTTTCATTTATTTTTGTGAATGTATTAATAACTACCTTGTTAAGCATCTTTTGAGTAGCATAAAGTTTTGCTATTTGAAAACTGCCCACATCCTTCTACAATTACATATATGTTGTATCCTTTTATATGCAATTGTATAAATATAAATACTATAAATTTTATATTAAGATACCAAAAATACATTTCTTTTTTAATAATAGCATTCACCACCATGCATTTTTAAAGACTAGTTTCTAAAGTAGCTTCTGTTAGAAACCTTTGACAAGGGGTTGGGGAATGGGGATAAGAATCTAAAATGAGAGACTCTGGGACTCTCTAGAACAATTTAGGGTTGAGCCAACTTTGTTTCTGATTTACCTGGATATTGCCTCTCAAGCCCCCCTAAACTCCAGCTATTCAGTATCCACCTTGATTGAGTATATAACTCATATACAACATAATCATCGAGCATTGCCAGTCACTGAAAACACTTAAGTGTGTGTATATTTCTTAGCATAAATGCTTTCTTCAGTTGGAGTTTTTCTTATAACTTATTCTTAGAAATGCATCTTTTATAACTAGAAGTTGATTTTGTATGTATACCTTGTGTAATAAATTTTAAAGATGAGAATTCCACTGATGATGTTTGTATTTAGTATTTGAAAGAAAGATTACAGGCGTTTAAAATCTGTTTCTTGGTATATTACTCTGGTGATGAACGTTAATAGCTGCAAAGAGCTACCCTTTTTTTTTCTGACAGAGTCTATACATTCAGGAAATGACAGATGTGACTCCTTTGTAGATTTCAAATTTGATGTGAAACTGTTAAGACTAGACCATTTTTTATTAACGTTTTTCTCAGAGGTACCATCAGCGCTTCTCTCTCTTGTTTTTGTTTGTTTGTTTTGAGGAGGGGTGAGGGAAATACTTTGAATCTCTCTGAATTGCCAAGTGATGAGACCTGGGTGGTTCCATGGTAGAATTCTCACCTCTTGTGGGAGAGACTCCCGCTGGTGTACCTTAAGCACAGTTTGTCAGCATGTTGCTATGATGTGGAACAGGGGTCTCCAGAGCTTCCAGATCAAAAGGGAGTAGAAAGCAGTATTTTGGTGTAGTACTGTGCTCTGAGGGTTGTGAAGCCGCCAGGAGTCCAGGCTGATTTGATGGGAGCTACAACAATTACCAGGAGCTCTGATGAAATCAGGTAAAGGATTTGTAAAATTTTTAGTATTAAGATACACACAGCTATAAGAGCCCCCCAAAGATTATTTATTAAAAAAATACACACACAAAAAAAAATACACACAAATCTGAAATACCTAGTTAATTGTTTTATTATATGTAATCTGTGTGTGCTTTTTTTGTAGATATCAAAGTTACTAGGGTCAGTATAGAGAAAGTGGGGGGTGGAGGTTAGGGGTGATGGAAAAACTACATCAATCATGAATAGGTATGCTTGCAAACAGATTCTTGTAATTGCTGTCAATGAGGTTTAAACCTGTAAATAACTGAACAGGCAAAAGTTGTGTGATAGATATACAAGGGGACTTCAAAACGTTTGTGGGAAACTTCCATTATTTTAAAATTTATTTGCAGTCATCACTTGGGCTATTTCTTGCTGCTGTTTGTTTGCTGGCCTGCTCTTCCACCTGCATGGCCAGGCACAGGGCCTTCATGAAACCTTTGTTGGGCTGAGAGGTGATTGGGAAGCTTGGCTAGAGTGGGCTCTTTGTTCTCAATAGTCTCCAGGTTATAGTCCGGCTGCTTGGTCGTCTCGGAAGAGCTTAAGTCAGGTTGACCCTTGTTTTCAGCTGAAGAGATACAAAGAGTCTCAGGGAGAAGGCATTGCTGGGCACGCCAATTACACTGCTCAGGCTGCGGCTGCTTCTCTGGCACTGCATTCTTAAAGTATAAATACTCATGTAAGCAATAAATAATTGACACTGTAGAAGTTCACAGTTAATGCCTGTGTGTGTGTGTGTGTGTGTGTGTGTGTGTGTATTCCCACACTTTCATGCATATGCAGACTATTCTGAGATGGTGCTGATTGGACTTGCTGAGGAAAAAGCAGCAGTTTCTGTAGACTGAATGATAAGGCATTTGTAGGTCAGAGTGAGAAAAAGATCCAACAAAAATTTAGAAGTCTCCAGTGACATTTCTGGGGGGTCCAGTTGTGTGTTTCTTGAGATATCCCTTCTGAGGTGAGGGGGGGGCTGTTGGATCTGGTCCCTTCTACAACTAAAAGATCCAATGCTCAGTGGATCTTCTGGATTTAGGAAGCAAAATATTCCTCCAGCCCAGTGGGTCTCAACTTTACTAATCCTGCACCCTTTAATACAGTTCCTCATGTTGTGGTGAGCCCCCAACTATAAAATTATTTTTGTTGCCACTTCATAACTCTAATTTTGCTACTGTTATGAATTGGGTGGCCCCCAAAGGGGTCACGACCCACAGGTTGAAGACCGCTGCTCCAGCCCTTATTTCAAGTGACTATAAAGTTTTTGTTTGTGTGTATGTGTGTGTGTGTGAGAGAGAGAGAGAGAATTAGGTGAAGATTTACAGAGCAATTACTTGGAAGATGAAATGACCAGAGGTAAGAGTATTAAGTTGATTTTTGAGCTATAGCTAATGCTTCTAAGTTAGGGTCTTAGAAGGAACATGATTGGAAAACTGATCACAAGGATGTCTGGGGAACAATATATGGTTAGACATCTCTGAGAGGCCAAAGAAGGTGAAAATATTTGTTATCTTGTGACTAATCAAAAAGTGACCACAGCAGAGGATTTTAACAGTCATAGATGAGATGTTCTGTGGCTACCGGCAGTCAGCCTTTCTTCAGTCACTCCTGTCTGCACAGTAGACATGATAAAAGTGGCCATTGTGCTAGCTACAAATGGAGGTATTCCATAGACTTGGAAACATTGACTTCACCACTGCTGAGTGCCTGTTCTGCCAGCAGCTAAGACCAACACTAAGTCTCCAGAGTGACACTTCCCCAGGGTCCTCAGCCTGCTGCCTTTGGTGGCAGGTGGATTACATTGGACCAATTCCATCATGGAAGGGCTAACGTTCTTACTGGTATAAATGCTTATTCTGGATACTGGTTTGGCCCTCCACACAATGCTCCTGCCATAACGATAAGAAATTGTAGAATATCCTAGCCACTGTCATGATATTCTACGCAGCATTGCCTTGGGAATTGGCTTTACAACAAATGAAATGCAGCAATGGGCCTGTGCTTGCAAATTCACTGGTCTTGCCACGTCACCCAGAATACTGAAGCAGATGGCTTGATAGGATGAAAGTGTGTTAAATGACGTCTTTTGTGACTATGATTCCATTTACCCAGTCAATGGTTTTTAACAACTTTATATGGGTCATGCATAGTTCATGTAGGAAATACTTGCTTATGTCTCATACCACTATCATATACCATTCTAACAAGATTTAAACCTTTTTTCCTCTAGGAGTGTGTAAGTTCATTGAAGATAATACTGTATCTTTGTATCCCTAGTAACATAGTTTGAGTCTCAATAAATATTTGTTGAATAATTCAATTCTAGAAGCAAATGTGAAAGCCAGAATTACAATCAGTAAAAGACTGGGTGAGTTGTGATCGAAAGTACTGCTGGTAAGAACCCAAGTCCTCCCTTTGAGATTGGTTTTCCTCAGAAGATGGAGTGCCCTGTTGTCCCTCTACCAATGCCTGCCTAACTTCTATTCTCAGCAAAGAAGTTAACACCATAGGCTCTCAGACCCCCTCAATCAAAATGAGTCCTCTATTTTAATCTCATTTAGTCTCCAATATTCTTATCTGACACTTCATAATGTTCAGCTATTTTAATATTTACTATTTGTCTGTCCATGAAACTGTAGGCTCTTTAGTGTTAGGAACTAGGTATTTTATGACAATGGGTTTGTTTTTGAAAAATGTGTTGCCATTGAATGAATTCCAACTCTAGACCCCGTGTCATTACAGAGTAGAACTGCTCTCTAGTGTTTTCTTGGCTGTTATCTTTTAAGAAGCAGGTCACCAGAACTGTGTGTGTGTGTGTGTGTGTGTATACACCAGGGTGAGTTCAAGCCACCAACCTTTAGGACGGTAGTCAAGTGACCCTACAGGGCAGCCCCATTGGGTTTCCAAAACTAAATCTTGGCAGGAGCGGACAGCCTTATCGTCATCCTGCGGAGTAGATGGTGAGTGTGAACCACTGACCTTGCAGTTAACCGATCAGTGCTTATCCCACTGCACCCCCAAGCCCAAAGCTAGCATAATAAATTCCCCTTGATTTAAGGATTGAGAGCAAAAGATTAAGGAGCAGAACAGCAAATTACGGGGTTACTAGGAGACTCATCAGGTAAAGCTCATACTGCAGCAAAGTAGAGTGAGATCCTGCTAACAACATGTAATGTTAAAAGACACATGACTTCAGAAGCGAAAAATTAGGTGTATCCCATTCCAAGACCATCTGAGGAGAAATTTTCACTTCCATTGCCTTATAGTTCATTTTACCTATATCAGGCATCCTTGAGATACTGCAGCCCATCTAATACTGTCTATCCCAACCTTTTGAATGGACCAGAAGGTTGTGGGGTATTCTGTTGATTCTTTTGTTTTGTTTTGCAAAATCTGAGACCAAGTACAAAATACCAAGAAATACTATATTTATCCATAAATCATGGCAGAAGAGGAAAGCAGTCATCAATTAAATGGTTCAGTTGAGAACAGATGGATTGTATTGGTTGTGTTAGGCCGGGTTGACTAGAGAAACAAATCCAGTGACACTCAT